CCCCCCCCCCCCCCCCCCCCCCCCCCCATGCTGATTGTGTGGGATGGGATGGGATGACCTTGTCTTGGATTTGAGTAAATAAGGTAATGTTTATATAGTCCCATTACGGTCCTGCAAAAAAGCAGCTGACCTACTTTGAGCTCTTTAAACTTGAATAGTGTCTTAGTACCATCAGTAAGCACAGTATTGTGAGAGACTGAGGTGTTGTACTTGACTATAATTTGATTAACCTTTCCGTAGGCTAATGCCTCTGGAGGAAGAAACCAAGTAGAGCTAAGCACTAGACAATTAAATTATAAGAAAGTTTATTATTTGTAATTTTGAGGGTTTGTATTTTTGTTTTTATTAATAGGCGCTCAAGTCTACAGGATTGCGTACATCTGATCCAAGGTTGAAAGAGTGCATGGATATGTTAAGACTGACCCTTCAAACAACTTCAGATGGTGTCATGCTGGACAAAGAACTTTTTAAAAAGTAAAATTTCTCCTAATATTTTGGTAGTGGTCAGTGCACTGTACAATGCTTAGTTAATGTGTCCCTCAAGCAAAAACAAAATCTGTTTAATATCAGATGTCATGGGAGACATTTGCTATGTTTAAATCTAATAGATAAGTAAAATGGCAAACAAATGAGACCATATATAAACAAATTTACCGAAAATTTAGCATTTGTGAATGTTCCATGGTCTCATGGAATGCAAAAAGCCAGAATAAATTCCCAGAACAGCTCAATGGCTTTTTATTATTTCTTGCACCTGTGTAACTGAAGAATACAGTTTCATCCCTCTGCAAAATGAGATTTTTTAACTTAAAATGAAGCACAGTGCAAGTTAACCAAGGCAGTTTTTAGTATGTGTGTACAGTTCTTTCTCTGTATGTCATAAACTTTCAAACTAACTTCTGAGCTTCTGCAGCATGTATGTTTTCTAGAGGATTTTGTGGTCTGGTAAACTTTGATTGATGTTATGTGCATTGGTGAATTCAGAACTGAGAAGGAGAATAAAATGAAATTATAAAAGTAACTATAAATCTCAGAGCAGTTGGGGTCATAGGCAGTGCTTTGCTAGTCTTAGTTTTGGAAACGACAGAACATGCAGTATAACCATTTTATAAAGGTCCACAGTCATTTAGCTTAACAGTGTCTGCACTGTTTAACTGAGCTTCAGCTCGTGCCAAACAGTTTTCTTTTCCATTTTCTCTATTTAGACTTTATTCTGAATGTCGTAGGGTATATAAATTTAGCAGTTGTTAAATCTGAAAATAATACAGACTTGTTAAGGGTAGGGAAATGTATTTTCTTTTTTGTTTTGTGGTAAATTATTTAGGAAAATAGTATCTAGTTTATTTAACAGTTTTTAGAATTCATATGATTTTATTCCATTGTTCTTTCAATATAATGTTTCCTCTTTTGTTCAGGGTGGATGATCTTTGTGCTTATAAAACATCATTGAGATCTGTTACAGAGCAGGCCTGGAAAGAATAATGTTGTCAGGCCCAAGATTTTTATTTTCCTTTGCCTTGTCCCCCCACACCTATATTTTCTAGTTGGTATGTAAAGATTTGAGTAATACTAAGTTTTCTTTTTGGAGGGAGAGAAGAATTGTAGCCAAATAATTAAGCATTTTGCTTCCTTGATCAGTAGCATGAGTCATCAGTTAGTTTTTAAACAACTGTATGGGCTGGGGAGAGAAAGATCAGTACTTTGTCCATTTCTTAATGAGTGGATGTTCAAGACCAGATCTCTACCAAAAAAAATTTCCTGTACAGTAAAGTTGGTTAGATGTAATTATTTATTTATTTTTAATGCCTATTTATACCTGGAGAAGCCTTTGTATTGATTCATTTGAGCTGGCAAAGCTGTGCTTTTGCTGTTGTATGCTATGTCTATACTAGAAGTATTTATCAGTATTGTGATTTTGGCAAATTTATTTTATTGTAGATAGGGCTTCAGTAACACTCCAAGGGTATTAACTGGTAACCCATCAGAGGGCTTAAGATGCAATCCAGAGATTGATTTAGGATCTTGGGTTTTCTTCTTGGAGTAAGGGTTGCTGGAAACAGTGTAGGGAAAGCTTGCATGATTGATGTCTTTGCTATAGCAGTTCTGTGCAGAAGAAGATTGACCATTCAGAACATAGAAAGCTGGTATCTTTCCTATGCTAAACTCCTTCCAAGAAAAAGATGAGGTTTTTTTGTAATTTTGCAACAAAACAAGTTTCCAAAACATTTATACTCCCCACATACATAATCCATTTGTAATGTATTTTATGACATACATTCTGAGGTATTAAATTCAGAAATTGGTATTTGGGATTTGAAATACAGGCATGCTATAACTAAGATATTTTCAGGATTTTGCAATTTTGCTTGAACTTGTCGGATGAAATTCTCCTGTTGAATTTAGGGCTTTGTTGAAGCTCATACTTAGAGCATGTTTTTATTTAGCTCATAATGAGCATAACTACAAGTTATAAGGGGGATGCTACTTGTTACACTTAGTTCATGTTAATCTCACATAAAGTGCTGGTGTCAGCCTTCAAGCAGGAACCCATAATCCACTGATTGTGGGTTCTAGGCCCCGGACTGCACAGGAGTCTTCAACTGGCTCCTGTGCAGTCCCAGGGCTGAAACTTGAGAACCAGCTGGGTTTTTTGGGGGTCTCAGCCCTGAAATCTCACAGGGGCTGGTTCAAGACTCCAGTGGGGTACCAGGATTTATATTTAGGTCACAGTTTTACCATGTGACTGCTAAAGTTGCGTTAGTGCTTACTATGATCTAAATATAACGTGCTAAGTGTAACAAAGCCAAAAGTTTTTTCTGAGCAGTCACAGGGTAAGGCTTACTACAGTCTCAGCCCTGTGGACAAGGCTGGGGTTGGTCATGTAGTCAACAGTCAGCTGTTCGTTGATTCAAGCCTGTCCCATCAAATGAACTGCTGGTATTATTTCCGTGCAGCAATCCCACGATAGCATAGCACATATTACTTAATGCTATTTGGAAATGCTTCTTGTCTGAAAAGTCCTAATTTTACTACTCTAATAGCATTTAGCACCCATTTTCCTGCTTAAATGTATGGATGCTTATAGTTAACATGCCCCAACCATAATGTGTGATAAGGACCTTAAGTGGAGAGGTTAGTATACCAGCCAGAGCAGTAGTAAACCTGTGCTTCTCATTGACCCAAGTTTGTTTACCTTGCAGTTGAAGGACAATTAAAATAATTTTGTAACTGAAAATTTTTACAGGGTAAATCTGAATTTGAATTTACTCATATACTAGTAAATGTGCCACATAATGCGTTCTGCACACTGTTCTGCTGTTTTAGGGGTTGAGCTATTTTAGTCACTTATTTGGGCCAGTATGGTACATTTTAAACTGCTTCTATCTTTTAAAAAAAACTAATTATGTTGCACGTTAACAGTCTACACTTCCTGCCTTATGCTGAGATTTTTTTTCTTTTCTTTTTTTTTTTTTTAAATAAGTTGACTAAAATTGGAGAAGTTCCATATCACATGCCAGCAGTTTCAGGTTGGCTGATTTCCTTGTTCTAAAGGTGGTGACATTTGTAGAATTTCCATCTTCATATTTCAAGCACTGGCAAGAGTATTGCTGTATTGTGGAGACTTATCGGAGCTACTTGAGTATCAGAAGTATGTTGTCATGGGACTTTGCTAATTTACTCAATTCTCATTAACAACTAGCTTTGATCTCTATGGACAGCACTGAATTAGACTGTGTGCACATCCTCAGGAAACTTTATTTAGCTAAGTATGCTCACCAGTTTCTCTCATGAAGGATGCACATTACAACCTAAAGCAAGATTCAGTTGTGTGTGTTGCTTTCAAACAATCATTTTTTGTAATAGTTTTTGTGGGTTTTTTTCAGCTTGCCAAAGGAATGCCTGGAGATCCAAAATTTTTGACTTGTCCTCAGGGAGATGGAGAAGTTAGGAAATGGTGTTTTCTGTGTGTCCTACAGCACAGCTCATTTCTTATAGGGCTTATCTCTACTGCATCAACAGGTGATCTCAAGGAGAATGCAGTTAAATACTGAGAGTCAACTGGCAGTTCTCCAAAGACAGAAGTTTGCCAGTGGGGTGTTCTCTGTTTATACCTAGTGTCTGTTCTCAGGTGTGCTGGCAGAACAAGAGTTCCAGGTTGGGAGCTAGTGATGAGCCTGAAGCAGCACCTTTGCTGAATTTTCAGCTCTGGAGTGTTTCAGCAAATTTGGGTAGGCGGGACTTAGGATATTCTGCTGCGGCAAGATAAATACGCCCTTAGTGTTTTTCTCTTCCTTTTTATTGACCTTGAGTTATGGAGTTATTAGCAGCATCTTCCCTGGCCTGCTGGTAGAAAGCAAAAATAGGTATATGTTCTGTTCTGAGCATATACCTAGCATTTGTTACTGAACTTGGAACAGTTTTATCTCTCGTAAATTTGATGTTCTGCTGTCTGAATCCAGCTGGTACATTCCTAATGTCCACTTCAGGTGTACTTACCCTTTTAACCCTGATGTTACACATGTTTTATTCTTTGTGTTTGAATGGTATAAAAACATTTGTGACTGCAGGTACATTGAATTACTTGGACAGGAAATATTAATGCAGAATAGGTCTTTTTTCACAGAACTATTAACTTTGTTTTTCTAAAATGGGTGGATTTATTATGCACATTTATAAAAATTATTACTTTCCAAGTTTGCAAGGCAAATTATACTCTAAAATAATTACTACAAACTACCGGCAACTGAAAACTTTTTCAGCTGCATGTACTGGCATAGGACCTTCCTGTAGACATACCCACAATTTTACTGAAATTGGTGGAAATTCAGGGTATGCATATTTATCAGAATTGAGTCCATACTTCCTTTGCTTTTTCAGAGGAATTAGTAACCAGTAGGCTATGCAAGCTTAAAAAGAACGAACATATCTTGGAAGAATTGTGAGGAAAAGGAAGGAGAATGACAAGTAATCCTGACTCGAGCACTCCAGGTGCTCAGTATTCAGTCTTGCCAATATCTTTCTCGTGATTGTATAAATTACAGGAGCTCCTGTAGGTGGAGAAACTCCATTTGTAGGTTCATGATTGAAGTTGGGCTGGGTAAGTATCCAAGGGACTTTTTATTCCTGGTGTTTGGAGGTTGGCAGTATTCTAAACCCTTCAGTTGTCTCCCTGCATTTCCTGAACTCTGTGTGTACACAAACCAAAGTGCTTGGAGTTGACTATAACATGGGTGGTGGTGGTGGTGGTAATAATAATAAAACCCAGAGTTTGAGAGTTTGTTATAAAACATAGGGTGATCCTAACCCTACCTATTTCTGTGTTTAGCATTTCTTGGGTGGCTTCCCTTTCTTTTATTATCCCCAGCCAGGGTAGATTGATTTAAATCAAGGTGATTTAAATCACTAAGAGAGAACCCTGATTTAAATAATTGATTTAAATCAAGTTTCCCACTGATACTTCTTCGCATATTTCT